CCAGTTTCTAAAGTAGCCTGATCCACCTGGTGTGATCTTAGCAGGTGAATTATCTGTTCCGTGCTGGTCAGTCTAATGTGTCATAGATACTCATTTGCCCGTGAAGGAGGGGACAATCTCTGTCGTCATTTTCAAGACCACCTTGTGCCTCAGACTTTTAAGCAAGGAGACCGGTGAGTCCCAAGTCTACTCAAGACAGACATATAGAGTGACCCTCATGAGGATGGTCACAACCCCAAAGAGAAGCTCAGTGACTGGGCTGAATGTGGAACTCTAGGGAGAAAAGCAAGTGAGCCGGACAGGTTTACACCCCACAAAACATACACAAAGCTGTGGCTCTGAACAAAGCTTCTAGTAACCTTCTCATCTGAGATCCAGTGGTCCTGAGGATGTGGGGCACTCTCTAGAATTCTCTGGTGTTTCTGTTTTCTCCCCTACTCTCTGGTGGGAAGAGGATGCTAAGCCTGACAGTGCTAAGCCAGGACCACTTGCCAAGCTTATGATGTCTCACAGTTCGCAGATGGCTCACAGTAGCATCCTTAAATCAGGGTTGCTGGTTTATTTAGCATCTAGTTGCTCTTTTTTAAGTCATTCCTATTGAGCCTGCCTTCTGAGCCTTACAGTAGGCAGAGCTGATGGTCGGGGAAAAGGAAAACTCACTTTCCATCCCAGGAGCAGGCAATCCTGAGAGCCCTTTCCGGGAGGAAGGCAGCAAGCAAGACACTAAGTGTGCAGAATGAACAAAAAAGCCTCAGAGGTAGATGCATGCTTAGGGGTGAACAGGAGAGGATCCCTGGGGGCGCAGGGCTGTCACCCAGCGACGTGGGAGCAAGCCTGGTTTCAAGCTTTGTATATGATTAGCTCAGCCAGCATTTGTTTTAACCACAGACCTTTTTGGCCGGATTCAGCCTTCATCCTTACCGACAGGAGCATAGGGTTGGGGGGAACCACGTGTTAAATTGTCTCCTCTGTGTTTTGACATTGCCTGGATAGACAGAGCTGTTGCTCACTGGCTGCCTCCAGCATCTCAAGGTCTTGCCTGGAGTCACCTCTAAGCAGTTCAAAAGCCACTGAGGTAGCCAAAAGCAAGCTACCCTCCAGCAGCCTAGGGAACATGCATGTCTCTACCTTACCCAATGCACAGGGTCAAGGTAGCAATAGAAATATGAGGTGCAATAGTGCCAAGAGGTAGAGATGAGAGAAGGAAAGGAAAGAGGGACCCATCTCTAATGTGCTCTAGCTCGATAGCTGTTTTAGTGAGCTCTGGGTTTGACTGAGAGACCCTGCCTCAAAGAGTAAGGTAGAAGAGGGATGAAGGAATATTCCCAAGCTCAACTTTAGCCTTCCACATGTGTGCGTGCACACACACACACATACACACACATACACACACACACACACCCCACATGCACTTTCCACACACATACACATGAAAAGGAAAAACAGGATACTTGTGTACCCCACACACTTCCCATACAACCACCACCCTAGTCTGGAGAGCTAAGGATGCTTCTAACCCTTTCTACCAGTGCCATTATTAAGTATACGAACAGCAGCTAGGACTGACTGTGGCCATCACTGAGCTCAGTTCTGAATGGGAAAGTATTGAGAATTAAGGCTTCCCTGAGGTAAGAATAATAAAAGATATGCCCTCAGCAAAAGGACTAAGTGAAGAAAGCCCAGGCCTAAGACTACAGTAACTTCCCTAGGGAGCCCATGATCATGATGATGGGACAGGAAGGCCCAGCCCATGGCACCATTCCCTCCCCTCTATCAGCTGGAGGGAAGATATTTTCATGAGACTGACGCACTGCCTACAGCACTGAGCCATGTAATGAATGGATACTTTAAATTTTCCAATAAGAACGATGTTCTGGAACTAGAAACAAATAGTTCAGCAGTTACGAGCTCTTGCTGCTCTAGCCTAGAGCCTGAGTTTGATCGTCAGCACCCACACTCTGCCTCCTTCATCTGCCTGTAACTCCAGTTCCAGGAAATCCAACATGCTCTTCTGGCCTCCTTGGACACTGAATGCATGTGGTAAACACGCAGGCACACATTTATAATCTAAATAAAATACATGTATATTTTTAAGATGTGACAGAAAACATGGAAGAATAAGGATGGAACGCATCTGGACACTTCCTTCCTGAGGACTAGTTCTCATGATACCAAAGGAGCTAGGCAAGCTTCCAAGGCAGAAAACCAATCAACAGTCCTACCCAACTACAGCTATGCCTCATGGACAATAACAAAGGCTAGGACAGCAAGCAGTTCCTAGAGGTGCAATAGTAGCATTTTTGTCTTGGTCATAGCCAACAACCATCTAATTAGACTTAAGACCTTCTCGGAAGAAAGGAATCTATGCCCGATACTGTAAACCTGGCCTGCTACTTGTAACTGGTGAGGCCACGGAGCCTAGAAAAGAACCTACTACTGACACTTCACTAAACCAGTATAATATCTAACTGCATTCTAACTACGTATCCTTAATCTCACATGTAAGGGTTGTTCCCACCCCATATAAAGATGCTTCTCTTTGTGGCAGATACATCATTACAGAAACCATTACAAAAAGCCACAATTGGTCAAAACGTAGAGAACAACCAACTATGCGGTTCCTGGCCCAAACTGATATGTAAACAACACAACCCCTTCACTTAAGACTCAAGGGATCATCTCAAAAGAGGGTAGAAAGACTCTAAGAGCCAGGACAGGATGTCTGCTGTGAGACAGAGTCTTCTACATGTGACAGGGAAAGTGCACCCAGGAAATCTCAGCAAAATGGTTGCCTAAAGAAGATCTTAACTATGGCAACACAACTGCCATGCCAGCATGGATGGGGATTCTCACAAGGCTCCACCCACAGAAGGAGAGCTATGGGCAATTGATGCTTGCCAGGGGAGGGAGAATCAATCTTTTTCCTGGGATGAGACCTTCCCACCATCCCCAGGAGGTTAGCTGATTCCAGGAACTCAACCCGAAACACATATGAACTTAGCAGGCTGTGTTTATAAATTTATGTAAGGAACAGATATATGTATATATGTGTATGTGTGTGTATATATATACATATATTCATACATATCATATATATTCATACATATCATATGTACACACATATACATTGTATACATATATATCACTTATAATAGAATAATCAGAGGTCAGGATTGGGGAGGAACATGGGAGGAGCTGTAGGGAGGAAAGAAAAGCGGTGCTAATGTAAGTACCGTGCTCCTGTAAATTTCTCAAAGGCTAAACTAAGAAAACAAAGATGTTCTGAGAGGAGAACTGTGGTCATGATGTTGCTCTGAAATCCTGGCTTGAGTCAGTCTCCTCCATCCTTCCAGGGCAAGAATAGAAGAGAGACTCGGAAAAGGGAAAGGAGGGAGATGGTCAGAGGGCAAGGTGCTTATCGTGCAAGCATGAGGACCCGAGTGCAAATTCTCAGCACCCCTGAAAAACCAGGCATGAACCTGTAACCCCAGAGCTGCAGCATAGGGACAGCAGGATCCCTGGGGTTCCTTCTGTTAATCTAGCTAAACCAGGAGCCCCAGGTTCAGTAAGAGACTGTCTCAAAACAGTAAGGTGAAGAAGTGACTGAGGAAGACATCCCAATGTCAACGTCTGGTCTCCCCCTCAGGCTCCCACAAGCAAGTGCACAAACACGCATATATGTAAACACTTACACACAAACACAGAAATAGCTCACTCTTTGTCCTACGTCAGGTACCCATGTTTCATTTCCTACAAAGAAGAGAGAAGCAAACTGTACATCCTACTGATACCCTCAGTTGGTACTTCCAGATCCGAACAGGCACATAGAAACACAAAGTCACATCCACCTCAGCCCTGAGGAACTTGTGGCAATGGGCCACAAACAAGCTACTGCAAAGGCTGTTTTTCAAGTAAAGCTGCATCCAGTCACTTTATATGGGAAGCAGGAGGTTTCAGCTGTGGGCTTTTCAGGATGGTCCTTTTAGGTTGAGATGTTCTTTTACTATTTCTGATGGGAATCATTCTGGAAAGATTTACATTGCCTCATTAATACCTTGAACATAACTTAATGCACAGAACATAGAGGGCCACCCTTATAGTCGTCTGTTTACTACATTTTTCCCCCTCTGGTTTTCTAAAGGTCATGGTCCTTTTCTATCAACAGGTTCGTCAGCCATTTGTGACCAGTGTCTGAAGCATAAAGGGGCTGAGCAGGTGGCAGGGGCTATTTGATCTGGTCCTGAAAACCTGGGGTTTCTCATAATCACCCTGTGTTCAACAATATTCTGTTTTCTCCTTCACTCCTCCATCAGTGCCTAGTACATTCCATCCTTCATCCCAGCAGGAACCCACCCAGCTCCCTCCAGCTTACAAATGTCCTTAACTGTGCAGTAAATGCATGGTTATATCAGCTGGCCCTCAGCTGAGGGAAGCTCTGAGCCCTCAGTCACATGGTCCCCTAGGGCTCTGTGTTTGGGTTTTGCACAGTCTGCTTCTTTTCCTCTGTTACCTGTCTGATGATCCTTGGCATCTCTACCTCGGAAGCTGGGCTAGCTAGCCAAAGTTGCAATCTCTGACAATAAGACTGCAGATTAGCAACTATATACTGACCGGTTTTAGGCATTATATGCTGTGAAAGCTATATGCCATGTGTTGGGCAATAGTTTCAGGGTCTCCCTTGTAGGATTAGGAAACGCTTTTTTGCTTCTTTATTTTTCTATTTTCCCTCATCTGCTTTGTTCTAACCTAAATTTCCTAGCGCAAACATAGACAAGGCAGATAAATTTTTTTTTCCAGTTGCTCCTGTATGTTCCTGATAAGCTACTAGTCTGACGTACCTGGGAGCTTTCTGAGACACAAAAAGAGAGTCTGCCACTTCCCCTCTCCCTAAGTCTACCCACTTTCAAGATATACTTGAGAGGGCTGCCCTCAAGGTTAAGTAGAGAAAGGTGGCCAACCAGCCATGACAGCCCCACAAGTCAGTCTCTTGTCTCTTCCAGCTGCACTGTTCCCAGCTGCCCATCGGCCAAAGAGGTCCTTGTCACTGCCGTTGAATCCAGTCCTGCAGACCTCCCTGGAGGAGGTGGAACTATTGTATGAGGTAAGGAGAGGGAAAGCCATCAACCCAAGTCCACCCAAAGACATGAACCATCTCTCTTTCTCTGAGAAGTGATCTGCCTGGGCCCATGAACTTGGATGGTCTGTGCTGTAGCAAGTAATGCCCTAAACTATCCCTGGAGGTGATAGACTCTGGCCTACATCAACCTAAGAGATTCCTGGGACCACCTCACCTTTTCCATACATCCCGACAAAAATGACAGTATTCAGAGTCCAGTCCAGGCATAGCTAGAGGTGAAGCTTGTTCCATAGGTGCCTCTGCCACACCCAGGCACAGAGTAGAAGGTCCCAAGTGAAAGCTTAAGGCATCGTTCATCTGTAATGTTCAGGCAAAGCCACACTGGGGCCAAGCACAGCTGTGTCTCTAGACTTTGTCTGCTGTACAGAGGTCCAGTCTGGCTACCCCACTAACTCACCTAAGTTTCTAGAACCCTAGACTAGCCCACATGCTTTCTTCTCCCACTTATTCCTGCTTCCCTGAGACCCTACTCCTCTCAATCATGGGGAGAGTTTCTTGAGGTCACTTGGTTCAGGCCAGGAGCCTGAACTTCAAGGTCTGAACTTCAGTCTATCAGCCAAGAGTCTTTCTGAGCCCAAATCTCAACTGTTGCAGGGCATTTCAATGTGATCCCAGAAACTCCCTTCCAGTTTTGATAGCTGTGACAAAGTGAAGCCAGAGAGGAACTTCCAAAAGCTTCCCTGGGCAGCAACCTGCTAGAGCATAGTCTCTTCCAAGCCTTGAAAATGGAAGTCACAAACCAATGGTTCAGAAAGACAAGAAGCAGTGTCATGGAAGGCAGAGAACAGAAGGGTGGAGACTTGGGATTTGCAGTCTTTCCATTCTTCGAGTACTTACACAGGCTTCTCGTGTCACTGGGCAGGAATGAAGATAGATACAGCCCCTGTTCTTGCAAGCCAGCGAGATTCAGCATCCCTGCATCCCGCTACCCCCCAGCACAACGCTCTGCATTCTTTAAATTCCCACTTCTGGTTATAATTTTTTCTGTGATGGTCAGTTTATACTTCAGAAGCTCTTCAGTGGGTAAGAGGGACAAAGAGAAGATAGGATCACTTACCTACAGGGTGGTACTGTGGCTGATACCAGAAACTATGTCACATCTGTCCATATTTGTCCTGTATGTTTCTCGTGATACCTCAGTGGAGTAGATCATTTTACAGAGAAGAAAGGTGAGCCCCAGAGAGGTTAAGGAGGCAGATGAGAGTTGGGGCTTGGGCCCCTTGGATTCTAAGTTCTTTCTATGGATGCTTCCCCACATGTGGCTATGACCCCTCACTCTGTCCTTAACAGTATCTGGTTTCATGTGGTTTTTCCTTTCTTCTTCTTCTTGTTTTTTAATCTCATCTTTCTCCACAGCTCTTGCTAGCTGAAATTGAGATCAGCCCAGACCTGAAGATCTCCATCAAGGACGAAGAGCTAGCTTCCCTTCGGAAGGCCTTGAATTTCCACTCAATCTGCAATAACATAATCCCCAAGCGTATCCCAGATATCCGAAGGCTGAGTGCCAGCCTGGCAAACCGCCCTGGAGTCCTCAAGAAAGAAGACTTTGAAAGGATAGCATTAACCCTGGCTTACACAGCCTATCGAACAGCCTTATCTGAAGGGCATCAGAAGGACATCTGGGCCCAATCCCTCATCACCCTATTCCAGGCCCTGAGACATGACTTGATGCGGTCCTCAAGCTCTGGAGTGTCTTCCTGAGAGAATGGCTCATGCTAGGACTTTGAAGCAGGGACAGGGACACACAGTCTTCTAGAACTTTCATTCTCTACTGCACTTGCAGAGAAAAGTTTGTAATTCCCACACGAAATAGCAAAGATAAATGAGTCACCCCAATATTCTTTTGTCCCTTGTTGCTTCCAGACAGACATATCTGACCCATGATAAAATGTTACCTGTGAAAGGGCTAGACTGGACTTTCAAGATGCCTCCAGAGGCTAACTGGTCTACCTGGTAGTGAGCAGAAGTCTGAGATATACTTACACATGTACCCAACAGTAAGGACTGTGGATGGAGTCTGGGCATGACAAGAGGATGGTGGGCAGATTCCTTTGGTTCTAAGGGATCTGTGTTGAGTGAATATTTTCTGGCAGGTTTTATGATAAATATAAAAAAGGCAGAGATGCATTCAAATAAATACGCTATTAGCCAAGGAGGATATACTTGGTTTCCCCCAAAGCCATGAAAAAGAATCAGTATTATGGTGACACATGTGACTTGAGTCATCTTTTCTGAAGTTATTCTGAGACAAGAGAAATAGAAAGGACCATGGAAGCACTAGCAGTCCATCCATACCCTGTCATTTCAACACAGAAGCCAAGCTAAAGCATAGTGCCCTCCTAATGAAAGAGGTGATACCACTATGTTTGTTTGTCCTAAAATACCATAGCATTGTCAGCGATTTGGGTGCTCTTGAAAAAATCGCTTTCAGATGACAGATTGTTTACCTTTCAAATGCTGAATTTTTTTTTTTTGCTTTCAAAATGTTAGTTTGATACCTGTTCATTATTTATATTAAATACTGGTTGATATTTAAATGGCATGTGTGCAATATCTTGAGCCCTTGTTTGATATCTAAATTATTTAGGATATTCTAATAAAGGAGGCAGACAACTCCCAGGTTCCTTCTTTGTAAAATGACTTCAGCCATTGAGTTCTACAGGAGGGGTATGTCTCTATGGGGTCTGCTGAACTGTTAGAAAACCCTCTCTCCAGCTCACACACAAGACCAAGCAAGCTCTGTCCATCTTGTGTGGGGTCCTGGGGTTCTCTGCTGTCCCCTCACACCCAGGTCATTAAAGTACACTTTTAATTGTTACCCGTCCACTTGCCCCTGACAGCTAGCCTTCTTGAATAGCCTGGCCCCTACACAATTCAGACTTCTTTACATTCTATGCTGAGGTCACAGGGCTGTGACCTGTGCATAGAGTGAAGCACCTGGGTTCTGGATGGCTTTGTCCCAGCACAGAGGTCTGGCTTCCTTCTCCTCTGGGGCTCCAGCTGGATTCTGGGAACTACACAGCAGAAAGTACGATATTTGAATGAGGGCTTCTGCTGAGCTGCATTCTGGAAAAGAGGGTATTTTACAGTCTCCATTTAAGCATGAGTCTGGACTTCCCCAAAATCTTCCAGCAGGTGAGCTTTGCCTGCATGTTCTAGCTGCATGCTCTCTCTGCAGAAGAGTGAGGATGCGGGAAGAAAGTATCTCTTCCAAACATGAAGTCTCTCAAACATGAACCTCCCCTTACACTCCTGCTCGGAGCACTAACCCTCAGTCCTGCTTTCTCATCCCTGGACATTCTTCATAGACCCCAAATCATTTCTAATACTTTCTCCTTCCCTCTCTCCATCCCTCTTCTTCATGTTCTGTGGTATATGTGGATGTGTGTACTTGTATGTATGAGCACATGGGGGAGTGTACCTCCTATGCACACAGAGGTCAGAGGAAAATGTCAAATGTTCTGCTCTATCACTCTCTCTATTCCCCGAGACAGGGTAGCTCACTAACTTGGGCTAGGTTGACTGCCAGAAGCCCCAGCCATCCTCCTGTCTCTGTAGCCCTCAGTGCTAGGGTTACTGGAGTTTGTGGCCACATCGGGATTTTTATATGGGATGATGGGATTTGAACTCAAGTCTTCATGCTTGGCCAGCAAATGTTCTATCCACTGAGTCATCTCCCTGATGCAGCTTTTTGCTCAGTTTTTCTCATTTGTATACTATATGCTCTCTTCAGCAGTTGCTCTGCTTCCCTTTTTCTGTTATGTCTCTGATGCCCCGATAACTAGGTCCAGTTTTGAATATTTGGGGGTCTTACTCATCTCCAGCCTTTCATAGTCACCCCCTCTCCTCCCCTCTCTATATCCCACTGCACCCATACTGTTCCCTGTGTTGCCCTTTGGATATAGCAAAAGTCAGCATGCAGACACAGCTGGATTTTGCAGAGCTGGGCCTGTAATCCATAGCCAACTCTATGTATTAACTCTGTATTTTCCTGGATGCGGAGTGAGCAGGGGACCAGCAATACCTCAGCTCCTAGAAGTGTGCAAAACCCTAAGAGCAGCTTTGCCTCCACCTGGAGACTCCACCAGATTCATCCTTGTACTCAGGTGCCTGGTGGAAGACCAACCCGTGGGCTGACTGCCTACCATGCTGTAAGAGTAGCAGCTAAGGGGAGGGACTGGAGATGTGTGAGGGGGAAATCATTCCAAAGATCATTGGGATCAATGGTAACTCACTCACCTGTGTGCGCACGCGCGCGCGCACGCACACACACACACACATACTAGCACACAAATTAAAGGCACTTTGTCTTCATAAACTGGGGCGCCTGGGTCAATGTAGCAATCAAGGGCTGAAAATGTAAAAAGGCCATGACCTTTTAAAGATAAGCGAAGATTTCATTTTCAAAGTAGCTAGATTCTTAAACATCACTTCACTCTAAATGAAGACAGATTAATTTTTACACACAAAAAGATTTGTAACATTGGCTTCATTGCTACATAAAATCAAATATGATGTTACTGCCCAACAAAATAACCCCTCCCCCAAATAATAACCCCACTCCTTGCTCGGTGAACAGCAGAGGAGACGGGTCCGACACAGAGCCTCCCTTTCTGCCTCTTTAGTGTCCGTCGTGCACACAACAATCATCTTTGCTCACAGAGTTCAAGGGGATGAAGTTTGCAGGGGAGAATGGCCTGTGACTCACAGAATCCTTTCTGTCATTTCCACGCTGTCTAGAAATTTCCTGTGTGCAGGTGGGATGCTCAGAGCCATCTGCATCTCTGGTGTTCCGACAAGAAACCTGTCATAGCTGATGCAGTCTCGTCACCTAAATCTAATGAAGGAATCATATCTAGAATCACTCTGTCAAAGGCACGTTATCAGGTGAACTGGTGTAAATTGAAAAGCTAGCTAAGTGACTTCGTAATGTCCTCTACTTTTCTAGCCCATCTTAATATCTTACAGACCCTCCTCTTGTTGTGGCTAAAAAATACACACAGCGTGAAACTTGCTATCATAGCAGGGTTGAAATACACACGCGCACACACACACACTTTTTGAAGTCTCTTCTTGTTCTGTTTGTTAGGGGCTAGGGCTCAAACCCAGGATTTCCTGCCCACTGGGCAAGCGCTCTGCTACTGAGCCAGGTCACGTCAGCAGCCTGCACGCTGTCATGTGACCAACTTCTGAAAGGTTTCCATCTTGACAGGCCAAGACCTTTGAACAGCTCTCTTCCTGTTTCTCCCCACACCAAGGCAACTTTTCTACTTTTCATGAGAGTTTGACTACTTCAGCAGAGCATGGTGGCTCACACCTGTATTCTCAGCACTCGAGAGGCTGCTATAAGAAGGACCCCCATGAGTTGTGGATGAGCCTGGGCTACATAGTTAGTTCTAAGCTATCCTGACTACTTTTTTATACCTTTTTTTTTTTTTTTACACAGAATTGACAGAGCCCTTAGCACTGTATTCTGGACAGTGGTTTCTCATGTGGAAAGCAAGATAGGTCAGGAGAACTACTAGCCCTACCATGCAACTTGCTTTGCTTCGTTTAATTCAACAAATATCACCCGTGGTGTAATACAAACGGCCTAATTGCATTACTAAACTCACTGGAATCTTCAGTGCCTCAGATATCTCATGGAGGAATTTGAAGCAGCTTCTGGGTTTGACGGGAGGTGTTCATTTCTCCAGCTGTTTATTTTTTATCCAATCTTTCTCATCTCTGTAACTGGAAACATCACAGGCATGTGGTCTTCTTTATTCTGCATTTCTAAACCGTCACAAAAATGAGGCAAGGATGTCGTAGCTGAGCTAGCCTGTCTTTGACATGCAGGTAGAGGTGACTTCACCATAACCTATCATACAATCGCTAGATGACTTCAAAGACCTGTCTGAAAAAAAAATCAAGGAGAACTGGTTTTGTGGGAGCCACTTCTCTGGATGCTCTACTTCTAGGCCAGGGATCACTTCAAAGGGCTATGGCTGCACAAGGTGCCCAAATCCTGTGAATCCAAAAGAACATGGGTTCACAAGACCTGACTCTGCATCTTCCAGATCAAGGCCATCTGGCCAAGACCATCACTTAAAAGAAGTTATGGGGTTTTTTTTTTCTTTCTCTTTTCCTTTTTTGTCTTGTTCCAAATCTGTCCTTTCTGAATGTGAAAATGAAAAAGAAAAAAGAGGCTAAACCATGTCTCCAAATGAAATTCCCAGTGTGACTATTGATGAGCCTTGTCCCCATGGCTCACATGGGTCTGCATTGTGCCTCTTTCCTATGTTTTTATCAAGGAGGACAGCCTGCTTTCTTTTTTGGTAAAGAGCCTCAGAGAGGTGAATAGACACCCACTCCAACTGGCATCTAGACTTTTCAAGAGTGGAGGTGAGCTGTTCCCTTCTTCCCAAGCACCCCAAGTGTCATTCTTCCTGCTGGCTCTGACCTTTCTACCCTGCGAGTACCCAAGAAGCAAAATTTGCCTGGAAGGAAGTCTTAGTACTGTTCAGTCCAGGACACACTCCTCTACAATTAATGCCTATATTCCCCTCGCCACCAGATGTGTCATCTTTCTGCGTGATGAGCAAGTGACTCTCCCAGGAAAGCTGTGTCCCATGCTTGCAAACAACAGGGCAGTGCTAGGGAAGTAGAATTACGCTCAAGGTGCTGACCAACATCCAACCCCTGGGATGCTTGAGAAATGGAAAAACAAGAAAGCCGCCTGGGTTCTGCCAAACCAGCAAGCCCCTGCTGAGACCAATCAAGGGCCGCCTTCAGAAGCGATATTGGCTCATTCTTTTCAACTTGCTGATAGGCTTTGAGAAGTGGGCGGAACCACTGCCCTCTGCCCTGTCCCATTGGTTCAGAAAAGTTAAAGGTGGGCCTCTCTGACTAGTTTTAGTCCTGTAACAAAAAGGAATGTCTTGGAGATTCTTCACGGCTGCTTTGGAAGTCCAGACTTCAGGAAAGCTATAAGTAGGAGCCCAATTTGAAGGGAAGAGATCTAAACAGAGTCAAGGTGTCAGGTACTGAGAGAGAGTGCCCTCACTCCCAGGTTGAGGTCTACCTATGCCTCAGACTGACACCGGTGCTGGCTTTAAGGGAAGGGGCCACCAGATTTTTACCAACAGTCAGCCAGGTCAGGGGTAAAACAGCAGCTGCCCCCAAACAGGTCACCAGAAAGAAGAAAAGCTACTGGTTTTCTTTTTTTAAGGATTTAAATGATTCTTCAGTGCTGACCAGCGGCTGCAAGCTCATTGCTTGCAAGGACTTTTGCTGGCATCTAGAATGAAGCCACCCTCTTGTTAACCACAGAGAGCAAACTCATCGCTCCGGTGTATAATTCTTTCCCGGCTCCTCTTCGATGGCCATAACACTATGCTGCTCAATCTCACCTAAGGCAGAAGGCAAGGAGCCCAGCTTTCTCTGGAAACTGGGTACAGCCACCCTGCTTTTCTGCTTTCGAGACCAAAGAGGACTAACTCTTGGAACCCAGGGAAGGTGTGAGAAGTCTTCCTGGACTGAGAGCGCAGCATAG